TTTTTTTGCACTCACAGGCCAAAGAGCCGTGGTGGCGCAGTAGTCAGAGTGCAGTAGCGCAGGCTAATTCTGCTGACAGTCGGCAGTTCGAATCTCACTGGCTCAAGGTTGACCCAGCTTTCCATCCTTCCCAGGTTGGTGAATCTGGATTTCCCATTGACTTTGTGGGTCAGAAGGTCACAAAAGGTGACCACATGATTCCGGGACACTACAACTCTCATATATATGCCACGCATCTGAATTTTGATCATATGACCCCGGGAACACTGTAATGGTTGTAAGTTGAAAAATCATCATAAGTCATTTTTTTCAATGATGTTGTAACCTCCAACTGCCACTAAACCATTGTAAGTCAAGGACTACCTGTAACCCCAGGACACTGCAACCTTCATAAATACCTGCTAGTTGCCAAATGTCCAAATTTTGATCACATGACCATGGGAACGCTGCAACGGTCATAAGTGCAAGGACCAGTCGTAAGTCACTTCTTTCAGTGCTGTTGCAGCTTTGAATGGTCACTAAATGAATAGTTGTAATTCGAGGACTGCTTATACTTCTAAAGTACAGATTTGCTCTTTTAGAGGGAATGAAGTTCCATCTCATGTGGACTGAATCTCTACCCCAAGTACATTTTCTTATTCATCAACAGGGCCTCTGTTTTATCTGGATTAAATTAATTTTCAGCCACTTCTTCCTTATCCACCTGGTGGAGAATATACAGTTAGTCTTCGACTTACAACAGTTCGTTTAGTGACGGTTTGAAGTTACAATGGCACTAAAAAAAAGTGATTTATGGCCAATTTTCCTACTTAAGACTGTTGCAGCATCCTCATGGTCACGTGATCAGAATTCAGATGTGTGGCAACTGACTCGTATTTATAACGGTCACAGTTTCCTGGGGTCATGTGATTACCTTTTGCGACCTTCTAACAAGCAAAGTCAATGGGGAAGCTAGATTCATTTAACAACCGTGTTAGTAATTCAGCGTCTGCCATGATTCCCTTAACAACTTTGGCAAGGAAGATCGTAAAATCGAACAAAATTCACTTAACAAAGGATTCACTTAGCAACAGAAATTTTGGGCTCAATTGTAGTCATAAGTTGAGGACTATCTGTAGTATCTTGAACATTGCCTCTTGGGATCTCAATAAGAGCTGGGTGCCTACTAATGTCTTATTGCTCAAATTCTAATTCTTTCAAAAAAAAAAATAGATCCAAGGTGTTTCAGAAGCATAAGATCTCCTGGCTGTGAGTTCATGCAACACGCTTATCGTTAAACCGAAGTTTACAAAACACGGCAACAAACTGTATAATAGGTCAGCGTGAGGGTGGGATGCCCAGAACAGATGAAGGCAATGGCTAAATCACAAACAAGTCAGCCTTACTTTAACCTAGCTTAACAGGTTGTGTGAACCCAACCACTGAGGTGAAAAACATTTATTCCCTCAATTAGTGCACCTGATTGCAATAAAAATGCACAACGTTCAGCCAGGATTACAATAACCACGCAGAAGCAAAAAAAAAAAAACCAAACCAACCCATGCTTTTTATGTATAGAACATACACAGGTGCTTTAATGTTGAAAGAGATATTCAGTCACTGTCTTTCATTTTTTAAAGAAAGTCTTATATTTAAGTACTAAACGGTTTTCTTTGGATTTCTCAATTAATATCTGATGCCTTATTAAGAGATCCAGATTGTAAATATTTGTAAATTTTTGATCTGAATTCTCCTCTTGGTGAATTCATGGAGTCACCCATTAGATTTCTTGAGAACATAAAAAATAGATTCCCTATTGGTATTTATGTATGTATGTATGTATGTATGTATGTATTTATGTATTTATTTATTTATTTCCTGCCTTTATTATTTTTACAAATAACCTAAAGTGGCAAACATATCCAACACTACTTCCTCCTGCTATTTTTCTTCACAATAACAACAACCCTGTGAGGTGGGTAGGGCTGAAAGAGAGAAAGTGACTGGCCCAAAGTCACCCAAACTGGCTTTCATAGCTAAGGCAGGACTTGAACTCATGATCTCCTACTTTTTAGCCTGGTACTTTAACTACTAGACCAGGGGTCTTCAAACTTGATCCTTTTATGACTTGTGGACTTCACTCCCAGAATTCCTCAGCCTGTGTGCCTGGTTGAGGAATTCTGGGAGTTGAAGTCCACAAGTCATAAAAGGGCCATGTTTGAAGACCTACTAGACCAGTGGTTCTCAACCTGTGGGTCAGGACCCCATTTGGGGTCGAACGACCATTTCACGGGGGTCGCCAAACAACGCAGTCCGCCATTTTTTTTCCCCTTTTCCTTAGCTGTGCTACTCCCTTTTATTCTATTGGCTTTTGAAAGCCAATAGAATAGACTCTCTTGAATAGAGTTTAATTCTATTGGCTTTAAAAAGCCAATAGGAATTGTCCAGGCTGTCTCTGCCCTGCTGAGCCTGTCAAAAGTCCCATTCTGCAAACGGTGTTGCATCAGTTGAGTAGTCCTCGACTTACGACCGGTTGGGGTCGCGGCATTAAAAAGGTTGAGAACCACTGTACTAGACCAAACTGGATCTTTGTCATCTTCCAGGATGTGTCTCTGTTATATATTATATAAATAACACAATAGATTACATACTGTTTGTTGCATATTGTACCTATTACATATCCTGTACATTGTATTCAGCAATTGCTGCTCAAGGGATAACATTTGATTTCCTAGTCCTGCAGCCCAATTTGCTTTCAAGGAAGTAGCTTTTGGAGTGGCTTCCGAGCTGAATGTGAAGTCTGTACACAACCTTTAAAAAAAAAACAGCTTGGCAGCCGTTCACATGTTGTGGTGAACCTGTTAGGCACGCCCATCGCCTCTTCACCCCGGGAATGACCCTGCCATCCGTGGCCACATGGAAGGCTGAGCTTTTGATTTATCCTTGTTTTCTAGATAAGTAGCTGAAGTGAACAAAAAAAAAATTGTCAATGACCATAACGACAACAACTTAATAATAACCACATTTTTTAATGGCGCACATTCAGAGCAAAGAAATTTAAAATTAAAAGGCACAGTCCAATCAAAGCTCAACTGTTTTAATATTTCAAATATTTTAATGTGCACATACACACAACGCACACCTTGAATTGCAGTGGGATCTACTGAAACCAACTTTGGAGCAGTGACTTTTGCCAATTTCAATAGGAGAAAAATTAAGTGTACTGAGCTAGCATTCAGTTCCCCCACATAAATGGGACGAATTCTCACGTAAACTGACACAGGATTTTTAACCATGTTTCATTTCTTTCATGTTTACTTCAAAGGGACCTCAGGAAATATACACGTCTGATTTCTAAACCCCCCCCCTGCCCATTTAAATAGTAAAAACAATTTAAACAGACTGTGACCCCAAATATTTGTTCAAAAGGAAAAAAAATTCAGAAGATTAGCATTAAAATCTGCTCAAGGGAGCGATATTTTTTTTTCCCAAAATCAGAAATATTTTTCTGGTCCCTGAATAAAAGGTGTCATTTGAAGAAAAAAAACGGGAACATCCAACATATTCCGCTCCCTGACTTCTAAATAATTTTAATTTTAGAGTAGTACTGCAAATCCATTTTCTAGTTTTTTAAAAGAAAAGAGAGAGAGAGAGAGAGAGAGAGAGAGAGAGAGAGAGAGAGAGAGAGAGAGAGAGAGAGAGAGAGAGATCAGATTGGATTATTAGGGGAAAGGGCTGACAGATGCAACGATCCGGTAAATAAAAACTTTTCAGTCTTTTCAATCCTGCTTTCTATCCGAGTTCAAAGTTTCCCTCTGTAGAAAAGTATACCAGATCAGTATATTCGATCCCGATCTAATCGAATTAAGTCTAGCTCTCGATTCCACCCCCCCTCCCTCCCCCCCACGAAACCAGGAAACTGAAAGAGAGCACATTAAATAAATCAACCGGAAAAAAAAGACCCATCTCCCATTTTATCCAGGGGAAAATAAAAAATAAAAAAACTGGGAAGAGGGAAAGAAATGGAAGGGAGGGGAAGGGAGCGAAACGGCAGGCAGGAGGAATAAACACAGAAAGTGAAATTTAACCAATTCTCGCCGCCGAACCCGTTTCCGAACTCTCTCGGGCTGTGCAATTAAATCAATAAAAGCCCGGATAATAATCGAAATGGACTTTTTTCTTGCAGAGTTAGAATTAGTTTGGTGGGAGGGGAGGAGGAAGCGGGGGGGGGGAGAAGGAAAGAGAGCCGAATTCTTTGCATCTGGAGAAAGGAAGGCAATGGAGCAGGGGGCTGGACTAGAGGACCTCCCGGGTCCCTTCCAGCTCTATCCGATTCTATTCTGTTCTAATTATTAAAAAAAAAAAAAACAACGGCTGAAGTTCTTCTTATTGGTTTCTACCTCTGACCTGGGATATACAAAGTTCGCCGAACAGGCGAGACGCCCAGCCTTGGCGAGAACAGTCGCCCCCCCCCTCCCCAACCCAAACCGGCTGCCTAAACAGGTTCAAAGTGCAGTGAAGAAGGAAGGAAGGAAGGAAAGAGGGGGGGGGACCCCGGCGATCTCTAGTGACAAGTCTCCCCCACCCCATACACACACACACACACACACACACACACACACACACACACACACACACACACACACACACTTCTGACCTAAAGGCTGAACGTGGAGTCCTCGTCCCGCCAGCCAGACGAAGGGAGCCCAACCTCGAGAGTCTCGACGCCCCTTTCCGCGCCCGTCGGTGCCCTCCCCGCCTGTGCCCCCCCCCAAGCTCATCATTTGCATCCCGCGCGGAGGCCCCCGCCTGCCCACTTCATTTGCATATGGTATATGGCCTAATGGAGAGCATCAAGAGGGAGTAAAAGGCCGGCCGAGGCATTTGCACCGCACAGCCCGGCGCAGAAACAGGTGTCCAGCCGAGAGCTCTGGGGCTTCCCGTTGCAAGCCCAACGCGGGGGTTTGGGGAGGGAGGTTGGATTCTTTTTTGGGGGGGGACTTTCTTTCCCCCTTTCCCTATCCTCCCCCCCTCCCCTTTTTTCTTTTTTTCTGCTTCTCTCTCTCTCTCCCTCTCTCTCTCTCTCCCTCCCTCCCTCTCTCTCTCTTTTTTTTCCCTTTCCCTTTCCTTCCCTCCCTCCGGGCTTAAAATGGTGTCCAAACTCAGCGCTTTGCAACACGAGCTGCTCAACGCTCTGCTCACCTCGGGCGTCACCAAAGAGGTCCTGATCCAAGCTCTGGAGGAACTGATGCCTTCCGCCGGCAGCCCCAACGCTCCGGCAGCCCCGGGTGGAGGCTACGGGGTGAAACTGGAAAACTTGCAGCTGTCGCCCGGGGGGGGCGGCGGCGGCGGCGGCGGCGGCAGCGGGACGGAGGCGGACAGCAAGCCCATCTTCCACACCCTGACCAACGGGCACAGCAAAGGCAGGCTGTCCGGGGACGAGGGCTCGGACGACGGGGATGACTTTGACACCCCGCAGATCCTCCGGGAGTTGCAGGCGCTCAACACCGAGGAGGCGATGGAGCAGAGGGCCGAAGTGGAGAGGATGGTCAGGTAAGTTGAGGAGGGGGGCTGCGCAGTGTGTGTGTGTGGGGGGAGGTCCCGTAGAGGCGGCGGGCCCCCGCCAGCGCGCCCCGGGGTCCGGGGGAAAGTGACGGGAGGTTCTCCGAAAGGGGGATGGAACGTTCGGAGTGGAACGTTCGGAAGAGAACGTTGGGATAAAAGGAATGGAACGTTCCGATCACACTGGACAGAATGTTCCGGTGACTGAATGCACGGCCTGGTTTGCAAAGGTGCGTTTTCGCAGCCCTCCCCGCCTCGAATAATACCGCGGGTGGGTTTAAAATACACAAACACGCGCGCACACGCACGCACGCACGCACGCACACACAAAACAAGCCGCCGTTCAGGTTTGTCTCCAAACGTTTTCTCTCCCCCTGTACTCTGCGCCTTCTCATTACAAGAATGAATGGCTCTGTGTTTGCGTGCGTGTGTAATACAAAAGTACACAACTCGTTTACACAACTTTGTCCGCTGTCCCCTTGTCGTTGTGCTGGGGGGGGAGGGATAGGATGGCCGAGCCACGTGAGAGTTTCAATCGATTTTTATCTCTCTTTCTCTCTCTGACTCGCACACCCGCAATCAAGGACAAGCGCCAGTTTAAAAAAAAAAAAAAAAGTACATAGCGCGAAGATAAATTTCTTTTTAACTGATTAAAATAATCCCAGCAAAACGAAATCAGGGTTTTTGGTCTCTCGGGAGCAGCGCAATCCTTTTAATTATTTAGTGGGAAGGACTTTTAAGGATTGCAACTGCCCCCTGACAGAGAACGTGGTGCTTTTCATGTTCCCTAAAGATATCACCAGGGCAAGGTTAAATAAGAAAAATAAGAATGCAGCAGCGCTAGAAATGGATCGTACTATAGTGATTGGTTTTGTTTGGTTTTTTTTTTTTTTTTTGCTTTTTATTTTCATTTTACTAAATGGGAGCTAAAGAGGTTTTGTAAGGAAAAGATGAAGACCTTGGGGGCAAAATACAGTTTCGTAGAATTAACGCTGAAATTTTAGGCTCACTAAAAGTGTGACACCCCCCCCCCCAAGCGTGGTGCTTTAAAAAAAAAATGCTGCGGAGTTTTTTCGTTTGTTTCATTTTTTTTAATCTAAACTTAGAATTTTTATGCTATTATCTTGAGACAAAGATTCCATTAGAAACTGTTTATAAATTCTCTAAAGGTAAAGATCAAGCCTTGGAAGCAAGATTTGAAATATAGGCGGGAAACATCCCTTTCCTATGTCTATGTAGAAATGCATAAAAGTACCATCCTACAGTATTTTAGAGCAATAAATAAGGTCGGTGGAGAAGCGTGTATATTAAATATTCCATGCCACAAAACTACTCATATATGAGTCGAACTGAATTTTGCTGCTTTGGGGATGTACTAACTTATTCCCCGCCGAGGCCGATCAATCTGGAGGCTGGCGGAAGGCAATCACGCCTTATTCTACCATTCAGACCTAACACGTGCGAACACGGGGTTGGTTGCGCTGAGGCTTTGACACGGATTAATTTATAATCGTCGTACAATTCAGACGTTCCTAAAGCTATGTTAACAGGCCACATATTCCGGGGTTTCCGAGGAGGTTTAATTTTGTACTATCCTCAGTGTGTGTGTGTGTGTGTGTGTTGATTCCACAGTCTCTAGGAAGTAATAGCTAGGAAGTAGGTATGAGACGGAAGCTCAAGCAGCATTGTCTTTTTCCTTCAAATAACTTCAAGTATAAAACTAAGGGAGAATTGATTTGCAGGGGCCTCGGTGCACCCTGACCTCGGTTGTTTTCTTGCAGACGTTTCATTACCCAAAATAGGCAACATCATCAGTGCTAAAATATAACAAGAGCAAACCCTGCTCCCTTCTTCCACTGATGATGTTACCTAGTTGGGTGATGAAACGTCTGCAAGAAAACCAAGCCCAGAGAGCACCAAGGACCCCCTCGTTTCAACCCTGTGCTACAAATATTCTCCTTTATTGAAATTAAGTTGCATTCCCACATGATCCCGCTTAATGGAGCCGTGGGCTTCCCTGGTGCTAAATAAATGAATAAAATTACATTGATTAATTGCAGTGATGGGGGGGAGGGGGTTTGACATTTTGAGGGCAGGGCAGGGCTATTCAAACGTCCTCTATATAGTTCTTTCTCTCTCCCTCCCCTCCCCAAATATCACCTCCAGCCAAGATGCCAAGAATCATTGTGTCCAGAGTAGTAATAATAGCAGCAGAAGTAATAATACTAATATCCGTTACCTATCAATTTCTAGAGATAGGCTTTGTGGAGAGAAAGGTGTGAATTTGATGAAAAAGAATCTAGCAATAATTAACGCCGGGTAACCCTTTTGCACTTCCTAAGATTATTTCCCGCCTCCTTCTAATATCTTTTGTGCAGTAAAAACTTTCATCCGCTGTTCATTTGCCAATACGAAAACACCCTCTTTGTGTGTGTGTGTGTGTTCGTTAAGGTGCTAAACATGTGTGTGCCCCCGCCTCTGTGTGTGTGTGTGTAAAAATGCCGGACCACACGCACATATATACATACGTGTCTTCCAACTTAAAGAGTCGCGTTTTGACAAGTTGGTTACTAATTATACCTCGTGGTTTTACGGCACTTTTCCTCCCGTCCTCCCCTCTTTTAGCAAAATATCAACTAAATAAACTGCTATTTATTAACCTGCCGCTCCGTGTTTAAAGGCCGGCTGGAGATTTGTTCCCGTTTCTTCGCAAATCGGTTTAATACTAGGAAGCCGCCGGTCGAAAAATGGCGCTTGGAGGGGGGGGGGTGGCAGGGTTTTTTTGGTTTTTGCGAAAACGAAAGGTAACTTTTCACCTCTCTCTAGAATAGACGTTTCCAAGTGGATCCTATTTACTGAAGCGCTGGTTAAAATAACTATTGGGGGGGGGGGATAGGAAGATAGAGAAAACTCTATCTTCCTATCTCTATCCGAACTCTTCCCATTAAGGAGCTGGAATTGAAACCTGAGAGGGGTTTTTAGGATTCAGCCCATTTAGGAAAAATTAAAATAATAATAATAATAATAAAAAAAGGTTGAGCTTCTCCAGAAACGCGCTTCGGGACTAAGGTGGTCCTTAAACCTTAAGGGAGTCTGGCAGAAAACATCTGATTATTTTCCGACTTCACTAAAACCGGTTTGCAATTGGGGAGAGGGTATTATTTTTTTTTCCAAGAGAGGGGGGGGTTTGTTTAGGATCGAAACTGGCTTTTATTTAGTTATGTATCATTTCTTATTTCTTATCCACCGCCCGTCTTTTTCGTTCTTGGGCTTTTTTTTTTTCCCCCACCGAGTTGCTTTCGGGACCGAGCGCCGCCCCAAGTTTTGGCCCGTTGATTTGGGGAGGGGGGGCGCTTCGGCGCAAATCCGGGCAGGGTCGGGAGTCTGGAGGAAAAAGGGGGGGAAGAGAACGGGTCTACTCGGGAGTTTTCTCTCGCCTGGGGAGGCAGGTCTGCCACCGCGATCCTGTCGCAGGCCTTGAACAAGGCTAGCTCCCAGGGCTTGCGATTTAGGGACCCCCCCCAGTCCAGTCCAGTCCAGTCCAGAAATGGGAACCAGACCCAACAGACGGAGGTTGCCAGTCTCTTCGCTGTTTCTGTTCAGCGCGGTGCGACCCGGAGCCTCGCGGCCGTCGGAATGAAATCCCCAAGCTGGGCCCAGGGGTGGCCTTCTCAAAGGCTTAGTGTAGTAGACTTTGCCCAACATCTGCCCATCTCCCAGGTCCTTGGGAAGGAGTTTGATAGGCGGATAAAATGCCAGCTCCGTCTAGATTCTACTCTAGACTGTGCGACGAACCATAAGGATCTCACGATTATTCTTGTTTCTTCTCCCTGGCGTTCTCTGAGCTTAGTTGTTTTCTCGCAGGCGTTTCATGACTCAAATTAAGGAACATCGCCCGTGCTAGTCCCGGTTTAAGTAACGAAAACGTCTGCAAGAAAACAAGCGCAGAGAACACCAAGGACCCCTCGTTTCAAACTCTGAATATTCTCCTTTACCGGTATTCCTTCGCCATCTGCTCTGAAAGGCTGTAGAAGTATTTAGATTTATTTATTTATTTTGTTCGAAACCGGTTTCCTTCAGCAGGTCTCTGTCTGTCTGTCTCAAATTGGTTTATTCAGTGGAGACAGCCTAATCGTTCAGATAAATCTCCCCCCCCCCCAAAAAAAAAGAAAAATTGCCCTGATTTTAACGCCCTTAAAGTCCCTCATTCGGGGAAAGAGGGAAGAGATTGAGGGATGTAGAATTAAAAAAAAATAAAATAAGAAGAACAAGTAAACTCCTTTCTCAATCCGGTTCCCTCCGGATTAGTCCAAGCACCTTAAACGGAGTGAGGGCACGGACTATAAATCGTCTGGAAGGGCCCCTTGAAATTTTCTAGGACTTGCTAAGTGGAAAATTTCTGAAAAGACACCCCCCGCTACACACTTTTCATTTCCTCCGTTTACACCGTCCCCTTCAAGTTTCAAAAATAAAATAAAATAAAATCACCATCCCCAACCCGAATTCAAGGCGACTCGGATCCTGTCACACACCTTTAGGGATGGAGTCCTTGGAGAAACTTCTGGGGTGGTTTTGGATACAACATCCATCCGTCCCTACCGGCGCAATCCGTGACGAGGGGGGGTGAAGGGCCCTCTAAGTAATGCAAAGAGTCTGGAAACCTCGCGGGTCATTTTCCACGGTGGGCTAATTCGATGAAATTTGATTTCTGAATAGTTGTAGCAGCGATGATCTGGTGCAAAAGGCTGGCTGGGTTTTTTTTTTTTTTTTCTGTTTGTTTGTTTGCAGCCACTTTGATGAACTCTCTAACCTTATTTACCTGGCTGATTTTCCTTACCTTTCTTCCCAAGGGTTTTTTGGCAGCCTCTGTACCTTTCAGCACACCCTTAGGTAGGTCAACTCAAAAGTAAACCCCATCGAGATCAAAGGGACTTGAGTATTTGTTTGTACAGGACAGTCTGCTACCCAGGAAAGTAGAATGGAAAACCTTC